GAGAAATAATTCTATTTGTTGTAATCTTTTTTTGAAAAATGTTAAGATTTAGATAAATTATACAAATTTTCTAGATTTGATTTGAACTACAAGAAAAGATATTGCATAAATCAAAGATTATAAAAGATGAAATGCAATTCAATTCAAATTTTTTTCTCTGAATATTTTTCTTTTCATGTAAAGAATGTTTAAAGTTTGATAAACCACTTTATTAGTCATAATTAGAAACTATTTTTATGATTGATCAATACTTCTCATCTTTTAGAAACCTCTCATGCCACTGAGTCAAAAAAAATCTGTTTGCATTTTTCATTACACATAAAAACCAAGATTTAAAAAAAGCTGTCCTGTATGGTGGAGGCTCGTTAACTGCATAGCTGAGCCACGGTCTGTATAGCGAAGACTTGATCTGCATAGTGGAGGCTCGTTATTCCTAGTAAATCTGGGAGGCTCGTGTCTGCATAGCAAAAGCTCATGGGGTCCAGGGTTCCCTCCCTCATCAGAAAAGCCGAAAAAATTGAGATTGTGTGCGCCATTAAATGTAACCACTCCTAAAGTTCCCAGCTCTGATGTCTGAACTTGATGAATCTCGGGACCAAGGAGTTATCTCGAGACCAAGGAGTTATCTCGGGGATTAATCAACATTTTGACTTTCGATGTCTCATATTAATCAACATTTTAAGTGCAAAAAACTTATATCGAGAGCTAGCAATGTTAACGATACTTTACGCAAAGACCCACAAAGGATGAGACTGTAAAGACGACCCTAAACTCTGGGTACCGCTGTATAAAAAAGCCTGATTTAATAAGTTAGTATTAACAATGACGGGTGTCCAAAAATATACAATATATTTTAAGTTAAACATTTGCTAACTTTAATTAACTTTAATTTAACTTTAATTGATTTTAATTGGTGAAATGCTCGATAAAAATGCAATTTAAGGTATAGCAAAAGAATTTTTATTTTTAACTGTTAAATAAATTTCAGAAAAAATAATTAAACAAATTGGTTTACAGCTTCTCTTATCCACCAGTCCAGGGCAGAATGATTAAGAACAGGTCTGACAAGAAGAGGCAGATTTCGAATGCAGAATTCTTGAAAAGAGTTTGGAAGAATTCTACGAGGAGATAGAAATCTGTAAACACTAAATCCCAAATCCAAAGACAGCAGTAGGATGAGTTTTATGTACTGTACTGCAACATCTTGATCTGTAAACAATGGTAGTCCTAGATAAACGGAGCAGAAAATGGCCAGAATAAGTGAGATGAATAAAGTAAGGTTCCTCAAAAGGTCCAGAGAACTCAATACTCGCATAAAAATGACTGATTCCACTAGCACCACGTAGAGACCCAAAGTTTCGATGTTTTCAATGTTTATTGGAACCTCTCTGATCTTAAACAAGAGCTCAGAAACCACGTGCCTGTAATTTGTTAAAAGTTGAATATCCCCGGCTTCTGATGGATGGATCTGAGTTGTGAGAAAGAAAGCAGGGTTTCCAATCCGGGCAAGGATTTCATCCCATGCCCAGGTCTGATACTTGGTGCTCAAAAATCTTTGCCATATCCACACCAGGCATAGGAGGTAGAACCAGGGTATAAACAGGGTAGTCTCGATAATTGAGTGTAGAACCAGAACTGTATTCACATGTGTAACATTTGTATCCATTTTTAAATATTCAAAAAAATAATTCGCGGATTTTTTAAAAAAAGTTGGAACATTTATGATAAAGACATTTGTAAAATGTTAAATTATGATTAGAATTAAAATTAAAAATAAATTACGATGAAAAATATCTTTCCGAGACTGCAATTCAGACGTACAGAATAGCTTTTCTAGCGTATCTGTTAAAAAAAAGATAAAACTCCTTCTTTACGCCAAAAATATTAGGCCCAACCTATTTGTGTCGGCATTAAAATGACATATTTTTCTATCTTCGATATCCTGTTCGATTAGGTAGACCCAGCAGTGATGGGACTTGACTTGCGCCTTGTTTTAAAAACATTTCAGAACGTACATCATTTCAAACTGTATTCTATTAAAGTTTGTGTTTAGGTATGTAATTTATTCATCCTCAGATTCAAAACCATTGAAATTCAAGCAAACAAAAAAATTGCCTTGTTTTTGTTGATTTAATTTTAATCATACTTTGGAATAAAAAGGGGGTCACAAAGTCACAACAGTAATTTAGCATAAACTAGACCTGTTTCCTCATATTTAGATTAGAGTGGGTGTATCTGGTGCGGATCACTCTCTTTAAATTTCTCCTTCTCATGTTCTATATTTAGAGGAGAAAACAAGTGTTTATCTGGAACATAATCGTTTTGTAAATACAATTATGATTACATTTATCTAGGTTTAACATATTGTCCATCCCCCCCCTCCCTGCCTTCCAAATGCCTTTCATGACAAATTGATATGATTACATTCAGTTATTTTATTTGACCCCCTATATATTCAAATATGGTGTTCTCTAAAGAAGCCAAGATAACTGAATATGCGCAATTTTTGGTATTAGAATTGTAAATTTTCATTGTATACAATCAAACGTTCATATTTTGATAACTCAAATTTTTTTACAGGTTGGAAAAATCCCAAACAATAACAAAGTTACAGCAATTTGAAAAATTGGCACGGTTAAAAGGACACCCTGTATAAGTCTAGATGCCATTATTTCTAGCAAAGAATTTAACTTCATGGCCGAACTGTAAAACTGATTTAAAACTGCATCATCCTTGTTTCTATTGAATGATCATAATTGCAACCTGGCAAAGCATATGTGAATAGTGTGCTGGTAGGATATAATCAATATCCCAGCAGTAGGAAAATAACTTATATTCAGACATCAGTGTTTTTCTGAGACGACTGTTTGGAATTTACTCAGTCTTTTTTTTCTTACATTTATAGTTCCCTGCCATATGTAATCTTTACTTCTTTGCCTAAATCGCGGAACAACTTCAAATCGTTTATAAATGAATTTTAGGTCGTCATCACCCTGTATATTTAGTTAAAGGTACTATTTGTCAAGAAACTCTTAATTCTCGATTTACATACGCTTTATATATTATATTTACGTAAAAATGAAAATATATTATCGTTTTCTACGAGTCGAAATTTTTTCCTTATTTCTACTGAATGTATCTACAAGTTATTATAATAAATGAAAAACTTGCAAATGTGAATGTTCAACTTTAGTTTCCAAAACTATCCATAATCATGTAGAAAAACAAGAATATCTCTCTCTTTTCTAAAAAAGTTATTTTCCATAAAAGGTTATTCCTCAGAATTGAATCGAAACTATTTATAAACCGAAATTTAAATTTTTCCTGGATAAATTATATTTCATAAAATAGTGAATGGACTTTTCTGAGGTTTAAAAATATCTGAGATTTAACAAATTTCAAAATTGTTTATTCTCTAAACACTTGCTGTCCTTACAGTATGCCAAATTATGAAAACTAGCCTTTTAGGGCGCTTCGTTCCCATCTTTTATTTCAATTGTAAACATCATAAAACAAAACAAACAAAAAATTTCGTGGATTTTCAAAATTTTCAAAAATTTCATGAAAACCGAATTTTGATGGAGACACATATTTAAGATTTTGATCATTCATAAACTTTCCCTGGGACCACGTGAGGTCCCACACAAAATTTGGGCCTGATCAGTTCAGCCATTTTGACGTTTATTGGATACAAACAAACAAACACCCAGACAGGACAAATTTATATATAGATATATGTAGAAAATTGAACCAAAAACTAAACAAAAAAGATCTTATAATAATCTCTAATAATTTCTCTTAGAAATATATTATTGAAAAGTTTCGTAAAAGCAAACTTTTACCGATTACAGTTTTGAAATGTTAAAAGTTTTTCAATTTTTTGTTTAAAATATCCCATTTCTGGGGGAAGAAAAATATGAGTATAGAATGTGCTTTTAGACAATGTGTACGGGGACCAAATTTAATGAATTAGAACTAGAACGCTCAATTACCTGGTTTTAATTTGAATCACCGATTCAAAATTAAAGATTCATGAGGATTTGAATCAGTGATTCAAAATTATAATCCTGTGTGGTGTGGATACACGGATTGGTCGAAGGGGGCCTAAAGTTGTTATCTTTCCATGGGGGGGGAGGAAGAGGCTCAGCACCGGTTTGGGCCTGTAAACACCCTGGTAACCATAGACTTTACTGATTCCAGGGGGGGGGGGGGCTGAGTCCAGAGCCCCCCCCCCCTACCATCCTGTATACACCTCTATATTTATTTGCTGTGAATTGTCCTTGACTTTATGATACATCAACTGATGTAAGAAGAAAGAGAAGTTTGAAATATGAAACTAAAATATTAAACAATCTTAACACATCTAGTTAGTTTTAGAAATAAAGTTCTCAAGGCTTGATCTTTAACATTTTTCTTAATTACAAATTTTGTTCAGGTCAAATCATGCAAATATTTTGATAATAAATAATATGTTCAGAAAGTTTATTATTTCATGAGTCAATGGAAATGTGAACAACGCTCTTAATTTCTTCGTCGAAATCTCAGACTACGTTTTGAACAATCAGTTCTTGATGAGACTTGTTCGTAATATACAATAAAAAAATTATGTTTATAAAAAAACAACACACGGAAGCGTTTAAGTTTTTAATTACTTACTGAGTCCTATTTATTAGTATTATGTAAGAATTGTTGCTATAGTGCAAATCAGTGTCTGAAGTTCTCAACTTTTTTTTAAATGAACAAATTTAAATTTAGATTTGAACAACGATTAATCTAAACGCGAGAAAAAACGCGTTCAACTCACACTGTCATCTTTCCGGATACATTTATTGCATAAAACGTGCCGGGTCGACTCTACGCTGGGTAGTTCATACAGGTATGTTATGAGACTAAATGCATGTACAGTACATCTTGTACCTGCTCGAACCTGATTCAACTTTTAGAGTGGGTTGAACTTAGTCTACTCATTAACAAGTTCAAAGTTCTGAAGAGTCTTGATTCTGTGTTTCAAAAATTAGATTTTCTTAAAATTTTTTTTTTATTTCTCAGATAGAAAATGTCTACTGAGCGGTGGGGAGGTAAAGACGACATCCATTTAGCGAGGTTAGGTTATTTTTGGATTTATCTTACTCCTTCAGATTATTTGGATACTATGAAGCGCATTTTATTTATTACAAACCCATTAACTTCCCAACTTTCCTTGGCTTAAAAAGATTACATTATTTTAAGTGAATATTGTACAGTAAAAGGTTTCTAAAAATTTCAATTTTTTCACAGCCAAAAACTATTGCATCCCCATTCCTCAATCCTAGTTGCATTTTAGACATTTTTGGGATCTAGGATTGAGATTGAAACAACTCATCATTTTCTTTTCTTTTTTTAAAGATGTCCTTCTCTAGTAGGAGTAGGGATGATGATCTGATTGCACAGTTAGGACGGATTCTCCAGGAGAGAGAGGAGATGGAGGAAGGACGGATACTGGAGAGGGTTTGCATTGGGTTGGAGAAACTTCTTGCCTGTCCAAGGTAGTGCGTTTACCCGCACTTGAACGATTTACCAGGAAACTACATTTTCTCTATTAAACTCGACCGACTCAACTTTTTATTTCTTTTTTATTTTAAATTTTGTCTTTAAGATCTAGAAGGTCTCATAGTTTGTAATATCAAAAGTCTTCGACTTCAGCTTTCAAAGAAGTAAGGATTAGAAAGTCAGAGTTTGTGGCAAAGAATCAATTCCCTGAAAGATTTATTTCAAACAACACATAAATTGAAATATAATACATACTTACAAATCTTTGAAACCTTTGATATTTCAAACTTTGTCCCTGTTATCTAACAGTATTCATAGTTTGAAATATAAAAGGTTGTAAACTGTAAAGATATCAGGATTAGAAAATTAGAGTTTGTCGCAAAGTTAAGAAAAAGGATCTTTCTAACATTTAGTTCAATATTTAAAATATTTTAATTTTAATTTTTCTCATTACAGAGATTTGTGGAGTAGTCTCGAAGAAGTGATAAATGATGGTCGAAGTGTAAAATATGAAATACGGAAATGTTTTGAATATACTAGAAACAAGAAGGAGGTGTTTACAAACAAGGGAAAAGGTAAAAGAAATAAAAAAGATGTAAGTTTTGCATAAATTTTAGACATTATTAAGGCCTTAAAATTCTCTTAAAGTCTTTAAATGTTATCGACATAAGCCAAAAAAATAATAATGAAAAGAACATTTGTCTACAGGTAGATTGTTCATGAGATATCTTCTGCAGCAAAACCTACTCTTATCAACCCTGGAGTACTTAGCTCTACCTAAACCTATCCTAGACCTAGCAGGTTCATACTTTAATTAGTCCTGGAGTATTTAGCTCTAAACCTATCCTAGACCTAGCAGGTTCATACTTTAATTAGTCCTGGAGTATTTAGCTCTGAACCTATCCTAGACCTAGCAGGTTCATACTTTAATTAGTCCTGGAGTATTTAGCTCTAAACCTATCCTAGACCTAGCAGGTTCATACTTTAATTAGTCCTGGAGTATTTAGCTCTAAACCTATCCTAGACCTAGCAGGTTTATACTTTAATTAGTCCTGGAGTATTTAGCTCTAAACCTATCCTAGACCAAGCAGGTTCATACTTTAATTATTCCTGGAGTATTTAGCTCTAAACCTATCCTAGACCTAGCAGGTTCATACTTTAATTATTCCTGGAGTATTTAGCTCTAAACCTATCCTAGACCTAGCAGGTTCATACTTTAATTAGTCCTGGAGTATTTAGCTCTAATTTTTTAATACTAATCATGAGGTTGAAAAAAAATCGAAAAATGATTCGCATCAAAATTTGTAACTCATAATTGAATTATCTATAGGTCATAGTAAAATAAAATAAATTAAATATTGTGTTGTAAATTCAAAATGACAATCCATTTACAAGGGGACATGCCCGATTTCAACATTACTCTTTAAACCTTAGTCTGCACATTTACACTGTTACCCTTTAAACCTTAGTCTGCACATTTACACTGTTACCCTTTAAACCTTAGTCTGCACATTTACACTGTTACCCTTTAAACCTTAGTCTGCACATTCACACTGTTACCTTTTAAACCTTAGTCTGCACATTTACACTGTTACCTTTTAAACCTTAGTCTGCACATTTACACTGTTACCCTTTAAACCTTAGTCTGCACATTTACACTGTTAACTTTTAAACCTTAGTCAGCACATTTATCACTGTTACCATTTAAACCTTAGTCTGAAAATTTACAGTGTTACCCTTTAAACCTTAGTCTGCACAATAAATGATGAAGATAAACTGATAGTCTTGTTTTTTTATCTGAAGAAACTATAGTTTACAATTGTGGTTTCTTTATTAAACTGACTTGGGAAATCATGCAGCAGACACAAAGTAGAATATTGTCAGCATTTCAAATAGAAAAAATTGACAACATCTACCCCATTGTTGCTCAGATGAAAGTTTAAAGGGTACCGTTGAGAATTTAACAATGGAACATTCCCTTTAAATGGTATTTAGAACAAGCTGACCGGATGAGGTGGAAAATAAACCTGGAGAACAGCTGCTGGTTAGATGTATCCTGGGAGACAGGAATGATGGAAACCCATCTACTTGTACCATCAGCAGACCTCGGAGTGTTCGTTACTCTAGCCTCGGGGAAACCAATTGTTACAAAGGTATTATTATCATTATTATCTTTTATAAAAAAAAGTAGAGCGGTGCAACTAATTTTATTTGTGTAATACTTTTCAACCGATGGTGGAAATTCTGGTCACATGATACAGACAGAGCCACGTGACCAGATACTGCACTGCCATTAGCGGAAATTCTGATCATGTATTACAGACGAAAACAATCAAATTCATAAAAAAATAAGAACTGTTATATTTAAATGATAGTTTGAGTGTACCTAAAATTCCTAGGCAACTCTGGGTTATCCTAATTTTCAGATTTGTTCTGTATTTGCTGATCTGTTCAAACTTTTGATTTGAAAATCATATCACTTATATATGAGTTTTTGTATAACTTGAACGAGGTTTTAAGTCAATTTCTCAAGACAGAGACATCAGTTAAATAGAACTAACATTGGTCGAGATCAACTCCTAAAATAGTCAGGATTAAAATTTACCTTTACAGTCCCTTGAAATAAAAAAATTCATTTGCTTCCTTTAAGGACTTTGAAAAGTAGGCCCGCAAATTAACCATTTAGACACTGAGATGAGATTTTAAAAGCTAAACCCCGAGTTGGGCCCAGATAGAACCAAGTCAGTATTGGCTCTGATTCGACCAATTAGAGACTACTTAGAAAGCTTTCTCTTTGTAGCAGATGGATTGCTAGCAGATCAGCTCTGACAAGGAGATGTAAATTTTGAAAATTTAAACTTTACGTAGATACATTATTTGCATAGCATATTTATTTTAAACCTTTGATCTAATTTGACACTACAAATAATTCTCGAGATTTTAAATGTACCAATATAAACGTTTTTCGAAATTTATTATCATCAGCTGCTGAAGACCCAAGCCTTGAAGGTGGTTGGTTTTTTACTAAACTTAAGGCCATCCAAAACCGGTCTTTACTTGAGCTTTACTTGGGTCTAATCAGACGCAAAGACTGGATTTTACTCTGGTTTAAGCTTTTAAAATCTCATCTCTGGAGTCAACAAAATAAAATTAATGATTATAAAAATAATAATGATAATGATAATGATAATAATAATAATAATAATTAAAAGGTTCTGCCTGGGAGTGTTGCTGCAGAAGATGGAAAGATTGAGATTGGAGATACTTTAACTCATATAAATGGTGAACTAGTGATAAATCAAATGAACAGGTAGATGATACTTTGATGAACATTGAAAATATTTTATCTATTTATTTTTAACTGATAACGCTCAGAGCCCTGAGATGGAATTTACAGAATTTAAGCCGCGGTTTAAATCCGCCAAAACCCGGTTTAAATTAAGCGCTGGTTTAAATCTTGAAAAATTTGATACAATTTTAAGTGGAACCAACCATATTTAATCCGCCGCTCAAATTCTTTAAATTCGGCCACTGAGTATCTTTAATAAGTACCTTGGTATTTACAAGACTACTTTTAAACTCAAGTTTGGATTTAAACGAGTTCAATGAACGTTAGATTAGACTTAGCCATTGTACAGTGTAAATAGACCCTTTTCACTTAAAAAGCCTTTGCTAAGTTAATAGTAACAATATTTGCTTTATATCAGCATTAAAACACTTAAGTATTGATAAATATCGTCTTTTTATTCCATTGTTTTCTGGTTATCACTGTATATCTCAATTTAAAAATGTGTTCTTGTTGAGGAAAAAAATCGAACTCAAATCTTTTATCCAAGAAGAAAAAATATAAAATCGAGATTGAAGAATAACACTTAAGGGAGCGTTCAGTATTTCTGGAAACTTTTTTTTTCAGTGGCCAGGGTTTAAATAGAATATTCAATCTTCTGGAAGAATCAAAAGGAAAACCAATATCAATAACTGTCACAAAGGTAATATAGCTGGGACTGGTAGATTTAAATTTAAGTACCCCCCTTTTAGAATTGCCTGTCCATTACTTAATCAACAACGGTAAACTTTTCTCTGGACAAAATTGCGCGTGGCGACATTTTTGTTGGAGTTAGGTACTTGTAACGCTGGAGGCAGTTTCTCTGACTGTCTTTTGACGTATAATAAGTTCTAGACTAAAAAGAACAAAATTTATATAGAAATTGTATATGATCTATCAGAATAGAATGACTGACATTTAATAAAATGAATAAATTATGCACAATGGAACTTTAGTAGAGTAAACGACTTATACCGGGAGAACAATTTAAACTTTTTATCCTAATTTCTTTCCGTCATGTGCAAGGCGGGGGGGGGGGGATAAATTAAAAGAATCAAAATTCGCGGAATTTCACAAAAAATTTCGTGGATTTTCAAAATTTTCAAAAATTTAATGAAGATCGAATTTTGATGGAGACAAATATTTGAAATTTTGATCATTCATAAACCTTCTTTTAAAATATATTTAAATTCGACTTCCGGTATCTGTCGTTGCCACGCAATTACGGCGAAAATGACATAGATGTTCTTTTGATACTCTGGGATCAGTTTATCTGATTCTTTTATTTAAACCTTAACTAATTTTTATCCTTACTTTTCTTAACTATCCTACTTTATAAAATCTTTGATATTGAATGTTCTTTTTATTTATATATTTCAGTGTATCGACAACTAAAACAATGTTCTAAGATATTTTAACTACAGAAAATATTTAAACTACGGTTATGTTATGGACTTATACCATTAACTTAATTATGTACTAATATAATAATTGCATAAACATGTATAGAGTAACCCTGGTTGAAGATTGAAATATTAACAATTATAAAATGATATTTTATGAATTTGCTTTTTAATATAATATAAGCGATTGATATAAAAGGATAGTTTCAACTTATACCCATATAGATATTAAAGAAATAAAACTTACACACACACTTTCACTCGTTTCACGTCACTGTTCATAGTATGACGTGGATCTTTTAGCTGTGATTGGTGTTTTTTTCTCTTACGTCAGAACTGGGGTTTTTACGAGGCTTGTTTAAAAGTAGGTCGGTGTGTATTGGGTGTAAAAGTAGGTCGGTGTGTATTGGGTGTGAAAGTAGGTCGGTGTGTATTGGGTGTGAAAGCGTACATATTTTAACTTCAGCAGGTGTGACCAAGAATGTTTTGAAAACACATACTCAAAAAAAGTTAGAATACGCATACATACTTTCCCAAAAACATTTTCCAATGGAGACTCCCCAAGTGGCAGCTTCCCAAATGCGCAATTTCCCAAGCAGCAACTTCCCACAGGTTAGGTTAGGCCGCGGCTAGAGCGCTGCGCGCGGCCAAGACAGACTTGGGAAATTGCACATTTCGGAAGTTGCCACATAGAAAAATAACCATGGGAAGTTGCCATTTGGAAAAAATCCTTTGGGAAAGTACTCTGGGAAATTACTATTTTTGTCTATCTGAGAATTTTATAACTTTCATTTGCGGTTTTTCAATGGACAATACAATCCTGTTTTCAATAAAAGGAAATGGACAATACAATCTTGTTTTCTATAAAATGAAATGGATAATACAATCTTTTTTCAATAAAAGGAAATGGATAATACAATCTTGTTTTCAATAAAAGGAAATGGATAATACAATCTTGTTTTCAATAAAAGGAAATGGATAATACAATCTTGTTTTCAATAAAAGGAAATGGATAATACAATCTTGTTTTCAATAAAAGGAAATGGAGAATACAATCTTGTTTTCAATAAAAGGAAATGGATAATACAATCTTGGTTTCAATAAAAGGAAATGAACAGTACAATCTTGTTTTCAATAAAAGGAAATGAACAGTACAATCTTGTTTTCAATAAAAGGAAATGGACAGTACAATCTTGTTTTCAATAAAAGGAAATGAACAGTACAATCTTGTTTTCAATAAAAGGAAATGAACAGTACAATCCTGTTTTCAATAAAAGGAAATGAACAGTACAATCCTGTTTTCAATAAAAGGAAATGGATAATACAATCCTGTTTTCAATAAAAGGAAATGAACAGTACAATCTTGTTTTCAATAAAAGGAAATGAACAATACAATCCTGTTTTCAATAAAAGGAAATGGAAAATACAATCCTGTTTTCAATAAAAGGAAATGAACAATACAATCTTGTTTTCAATATAAAAAAAACAAAGATATCTTCCTTGTTGTCACTCAGGTAAACGTTTGAAGAAGGATACTGTTGTGATACAATTTGAGGGTCACGTGTTTTGAAAGAAAACTAGGAATCTGTTTTTGTTATTTTTCTAGGCTTGGAATATAAACAGTCTAGAACTGTTCTCCCCTGTTGTACCTCTTCTCAAACAAATAAGGTAAATTAAAGGGAATGTTCACATATCTCAAATTAAAGGGACTGTTCACTTATCTCAAATTATATAGAAACAGAACTAAGTCTATTTTACTCCTCAGCGATATTCCTGAGGTTCACAACTGAAAATATATTTACCACGAAAAAATGCTCCAAAGTAGGAAAACATTAAAAATGAGCGTTCACTTATTTGGGTTTACCCTGTCCCACGAAACATGACAGTTGGTGAATAGTTTTGAATGTCTTCTTCCATATACTATATTAGATATTGAAGACTTTTTGTGCAGTTTATTTAGTTAAAAAGTCTTTTACTAAAATATATTTTACTTTGAAATCAATTTTACTATAATAAGACTGTCATATACTATTTTTTATTCGTCTTTTTACTATCAAACAACTTAAAAATCATAGAAAAAGACATTTCAAATTATTCACCAACTGTCTGTCATGTTTCGTGCGACACACACTGTAGTATACTAAACAACAAAGTAATACATTAAAAAATTAAATAGACTTTGTAATATTTGTCAAACCTTTTTAAAATGATTTTATGAAAATAACTAGATTGGCAACCAAACACATTGCAATGGTTGTCGTCTTCTTTGTTTCTTTTTATTGAAAAATGTCGCCAAGGGTTTTCGTATTTTGTAAATGATTTATATAATTATGTTTTAAACATTTTACCGAAATTTCGAGACGAATTTCTTAGTTTTTTCGATACCACTGTCTGTATGAAGGTTGTATATAAAGGTTGCTTACTCTCGATGCGCTCCATGCAATGTATGGGAAATGTCGTCTCTAAGGCTAGCAACGCACAGTTAAAATCCGTAGATGACGTCACAATTTATGGGACAGTGTGCTTAGGAAGAAGGTTTGTGGGTATAAAATGAAACCGGTCCAAGCTTTAGAGACGACATTTCTCCAACATCGAGAGTAAACAACCTTGGTCTGTATTATATAATTATTCGTCTCAGTCTAAAAAAATTTAAATCTTACACTTACAAGAATTTTTAACGTTTCTGAATTACATCCTTGTTCTGTAGGATCAATGTAGAAGACCTGCAGAGAAGCTATTTTCTTACTAGGAGAGGAATTAGGTCAGAATTTTACTAGAAATTATAAACCTATACATTGTAATCTGCGTGTGTATGTTTGTTTGTCCGATCATACTCGTTTGAACGATTTGCCTCAAATTTAGATTGAGGAACTTGGGAGAACCACGGGAATGATCTTAGTTTGGTTTTAAGATTCAAAGCTGATAAGTCGACTTAAAAGCGAAAATTTAGTTTCCCGGAAAAATCGACCAATTGCGGGTAAACGGCGAGAATAATTATGAGTAACCTGGGCAGCGCCGGGTTCTCAAACTAGTAATATATAAAGTAGTAATCTCTGTTTGTTTTTGGTATGTCCGATTTAACTTATGAATCCCTTGACCGATTTGGAATTGAGTCTTTGCCACAAATTCGGTATTTGTAAAACCTATATCTTTGCAACCATATGGTGTAAACCTTTGATATTTCAAACTTACATTATTTGACCTAATAGCATTCATAGTTTGAAATATTAAAGATCTGCGACATTGGGTTGCAACGATATTGAAATTAGAAAATCATAGTTTGTGGCAAAAACTCAATTCCTTTGTTAATAACTCTTAAGAACCAACCACAGAAACGTTCTTACCTTGGTTTTAAAATTCTGAGTTGACTGATATTAATATAGAAAATTTAGTTTCCGGGCAAAGCTTGATTCCCAAGCTAGTAAAAAATAAAGCGCAGAGAACAATTTATAATTGAAGCAAATACACGCTTATTCCTTATCTGAAAATGAAATCTAGTACTGTAAATATTTGTTTATATAAACTTTAAGAATTGTGTGTTCAATAAGTTTTGCTATTTTTTTCAGGTATTTATAGAAGAATATTACAAAATTGTAAATACTAAACTAGGTTACTCTATAATTTACTATTTAAAATTATAGTAATTAGATTTTTTAATTTTAAGTTCTTCTTAAAATATACTTACTAACCCAGAAGCGCAACTGAAGAGTGAGGGGGAAATAACAAAGTAACTTTAGATTTTAAAAAAATATTCTGTAAAAAATGTTAGTATTTTTTAAAAAGAAAAATCATGTTAATATACCNCCCCCCCCGTTTTTGTCATGTACATTTCTGTACCTTTTGAATAGATAGCGTAAGGTTTAAATGTTTTGCGTCAAACAAAGTTAAAATGGATATTTTAACTTTTTAACATTAGCAAAGCTTTAAATTCTTTCCAGACAACAACAAAAAATGACATGATATAAATCATAAATATCTGATTCAGAGCCATTCACAGCAACTGCACTGCTAAATACAACTGGAGTAATTTGTAATTATTGCAGCACTCACATCCTTTCCCCGTACAAATATAACAGAAATAGGTATTAAGGGAGTAGAGGTGCAGCGGCGTGGGAAACTGCACACTATAGTTTCAGTAGATGTAAATATTTCCATTTACTGAAAGAACCGATTGTAGTATTCATAACTCTGATTGGATAATGAGATAGATAGAAAGATAGATGGTATCGCCATACTGTTTCTATTGGTTCAGAATAGACAACAAACACATGACTGAACCCTGATTGGATCAGGCGCTAATGGACTCGGCATACAGGAGTGTGCAGAAGATGGTGTATTAGTTATATTACAGCTGATGAAGCTACAAATGGTTGAGCATGGGTTTTTCTTGGAGCTGCAGTAGCTCCTGTGGCTGATGCTGTAGAAACTGCAGGAGCTCCTGTGGCTGATCCTGTATTGACAGAAGCTTGTAATAGAGCTGTACTAAAATTAACTGAGCTTTCAAACATATTTTGAACTTTCTGCATTAAAACACATGCTATAAATGTAAATAGTAACAAGGAAAACCAAATTAACAATTATTTTGGGTATCAAATGTGATATTACTAGGCGAAGAAGTGATGATGATGAGTATAACCCTCTGGAAGATTTCGATGAACAGGTAAAGTCTTTTTATGGCCTTTTTAATGATTTCACAGAAGGAAATAAGTTTACAGTTGCAGAAAATCATAATTGCAAGGAAACAGGCAGTATAAATGCCGTACAGTCGTCTCTAAAGCCTAATTCTGTGCGGGTAACCTGTAACTTAATCATCAAAAAAGTATATGGTACAAAGGGTGGAGAGAGGGAAAAAGGTAGTGCGTAAAATTGTATAAAAGTACATTTAAAGGATTAAATCCACGTTTATTTTTTGCAAAATTACTCTTAGAGGGAAACAAATAATAAACATATCATAAGCATTTTTTTGTGGAAAAAACTTACAATTGATTTTTGTCGTTTTCGTGGGTTTGTGAATTAACATGCTAATCTCAGCACTTCAAACTCCACACAAATAAATAAAACTTATCGAGTATTTTTCATATTTTATTTGTATATTCATAATTTTCAAATATTTTCTATAAAAAATTTAATTCTTCTGCCAAAGTTTTGTTAAAAACATGAAAAGGTCTTACCTCACACAAGACTCAAATACCGGAACAATTCTCATATTAGGAGTACACTGATGGACCGGGATATTCCTGCTTGTACATGGGCAGTGTAAACCTGGGTACGCGAGGAGATGTAGATCAAATAGAAGTCGGGATTCAAACAGTTCTAAATCAAACTCCAACAGGTTTTTTCATACAGTAATCCCCATAAAACTGTAGAGTAGGAAGACGATATTTAAAAAAAATTTATGTTTGTATATGTTGTGGTTTATGCAGCAAAAACAGAATGTAAAATTACTATGTTTTATGTAAATAGGCTATTTAAAATTATAACTTGAAGTAAAAAAATGCACACCTTGTTGGTTTTACCCGTAGCGTTCGGCACTCTTAGTCTGTCCTAGCCTCAGCGCTTGGTTCCTAGCCTATTCTAGCTGCAGTGCTTGACCTGTAATTGTCTCAACCTGCAATGTACTTCAATAAAGGCATAAAACTTTTAAAGGTTGACCTTATCATATAGCTATAAATCACTATAGTTTCAGTAGAAGTAAATATTTCCATTTACTGATATAACGCCGATTGTATGATTCATAACTCTGATTGGATAATGAGATAGATAGAAAGATAGATGTTACCGCCATACAATTTCTATTGGTTCAGAATAGACAACAAACACATGACGTCGTCTATGAAGTCTCATTCTTTATGAGAACGCTGTAAATAGAGTATCAAGACAGATTTAGAAGTCTCATAAAGATTATCTCATAAAGATTGGATTAATGGTCGAAAATAATTTATATTTTCACAAGTTTAAAAAATCGTAAAAATTAAAATGTTATTTAGGTCAAAATCTGTTAAATTACAGCTTTAATTACAGATTAAATATTAAACAATTAAATTGTTACATCTTATTCAAATTTCAACATATTTTGATTTAAATAATTCAAAATAGTTTCTTGTGCTTCAATTTCGTTTCTTAGGTGTTGGGCATCCAGCTGTTCTTCGACTTTTAGAGCTAGAGTTGGTTCTATCCCGGCCTTTAACCAAGGATATAGTTCTTAAACTTAGCTATCCTAATATATCAAGGTATATATCCAGACCCATAACAAAGGATATAGTTCTTAAACTTAGCTATCCTAATATATCCAGGTATATATCCAGACCCATAACAAAGGATATTATAGTTCTTAAACTTAGCTATCCTAATATATCAAGGTATATATCCAGACCCATAACCAAGGATATATTTTTAAGCCAAGCTGTCCTAATATATCCAGGTATATATACAGAATAAAAAAAATCATTTCGTGTTAAATAAATCTACTTCATTAAATATATTTTCAGCTGTGGGCGGATTATTGCACTACCGAAGTATTTTGCTTTTATCGCCCAGGCTAAAGTAAGATTAAGTTTTTAGTATTTTTAACCTTGACATTTTTATGGTTTCAGGTTTAAAACCTCTTTCAATATTCATCAATTTTTTTCGCATTCTAACCCAATATTGGCCAAAGCTGAAAGGCAGTTAGTGGTATTTTTTTCAGTTTCGCTTTCATTTTGAAACTGTTCCTTTAAAGCTTCTAAACTTGTATTAGAGTATATTGAATTTTCTTGAAAAAACATAATTTGAAAATACCAAAGACCATGATTTTAGAAAGTCTGAAATATCCCAGAAAAAAAATTCGAGTCATTTTAAATTTGAAAACCTTTGTAATCTACCATGCTCTAACTCCTCCGATTGTTTCTAAAAATTTGATTTTTATCTTTTGACTTTAGATCTTTGATCTTTCGAATAGTTGATTTTTTTTGTTCCAGAACGAGATGTGTATGTGCCATGTATTCTATACGAGCAGAGAGGAAACAGTCTCAGAGATCTTAGACAGTATTGGAGAAGGGTTTTCAAGAACTTCATTTACTGTTTAGATCTAGGATACTATTGGATAAGGGTTTTAAGAACTTTTTTTTAAATTGAAGGAGTAATTAGAATACAAAATCGAGTTAGAATGGAGTTTTCTATTTTTTGCTTCAATTCACTTTGTCTAAAAAAAATGACAAACGTTCAATTGATCAACTTGACACACTTGATTTAGATAAATTTTAAAAATCGTAAAAAAAACTGTTTTGTAATATTTATTTTTATATTTATTTAACTTTAATAATAAAAATGTAAAACTACATTGTAACTTTGTACAAATATAACAATCTTTTCCTCTTTATCAAAAATATAATATCGAAGTAAAATTTTGGAATTTTCTTATGAATATCAGAATGATTGTATTTCTAAATCAGATGACATTTTTCTGGTAGAAATATAATCTATAAACTTTTTATTATATCTCATGAAAGAGTTTGTGGATCAACTTATGTTATTGTTAAATCCAAATCTTTGGTATTTACATACAGCATGCAGCAGAGGTTTGTTCTAGGTGAATTTTGTATCTTTCACAACAAACAGGAAATCCACGAGAAAAATACATCCGGTAACGATAGCCAGGGCTCCTAGTGCTATTCCGGTCGAATCTAAATAAAATAAATGTAAATTCACTAATTAACTGAATAAAAATAGAATTTTGAAAAGAAAATTATCACATTTAACTTGAGGGTTAATTCATTTACTATAGTTTCCAATTAATGTTATTGCGCCGATATAAGGATTCATAACTCATAACTGGATAATGAGATAAAAAGAAAGATAAATTTTACCTCCATACTATTTCTATTGGTTCAGAATAGACAACAAACACATGACTGAACCCTGATTGAATCAATGGCTAATGGACTCGGCATAATAGAGTGCATTTCAGTTTGAAATCTTTGAAGGGGGTGGGNTGCCCTGTTTATTTAAAGATTAAGTTTTGAAATCCTACGCAATCCAATAAAGGAATATATTTTCCACATATTTCCTAATCCCTATGTCTTTGCAACAGCTGATGGTGCAAACCTTTGATATTTAAAACTTAAAATAATTGATCTGACAGAATTCATAGTTTTAAATATCAGGTCTACGACATCGAGTTGCAAAGATATAGGGATTATTCTTGGCGTAAATTCAAGGTCGCAAACTTATACCAGTAATTCTGCATTACATGAGTTTTTAATACATGTTAAAATTTATTTTTATTTAGGCCATGGACACATACAAGTAGCAATTTCGAGGGGGGGGGGGGTCTTATAAAATAACCCATTTTTAAAAAATGAGTAATTTTAATTTTACCATGGTCTGAGTATCCACTGTAGGTGTAGGTTTGAATTGTAACAGCTCCTACAGCAACATACAGCACACCTCCGACTAGGTTGATGAATATCTCCAGGAGAGATATATTGGCTCCGAGTATATAGGAGAGCAGACAAGCAGGAACTATGATAGCAAACCTAGAAAAATATATTTCCTACAGTTTTAATTCAGTGCAGGTAGGTTGTTTTTACATAATATAATGCAACAAAATTTTTAATTTTTCGTCACAAAAAGTAATTTTTTTTCAAAAAACAATGAAGTTTTAAATCATTTTTTGAAAAGTTTAGTTTTACTGTTTGGGCAATGTCAAATGAAAGTAAAGGCTTACGAGCATCTGGTTGGAAAGATATTTAGAGATTAAAAAATTTGAGTTTTCGGCAAAGTAACCTAATAACTGTGCTTTTTCTCATAATTTGGGCGTATAATCAAAACAAAAGAAGCTATGAGGTCACAAAGTCGTAATTTAGCATAAATGAACTGAGTATTTGCCACAAACTCAAATTTCTTATCCATATTTCTCATGTTGTAGACCTTTGATATTTTATAAAGTCTAATTTTTAAATATTAAAGGTGCACACCATTAGGTTGCAAAGATAGAGGAGGTTATAAATCTGAGTTTGCGACAAAGACTCAGTTGCTTTGCTTCTCTCATACATGGGCTTAAAATAAAAAAGAGAGGTTACAAAGTCATACTTGTAATTTTGCATAAATTTGTCCTTTTTCTAAATATCATAATTAGAAATTAATCAATTAACAGATAAATAAAAAGAACTTACCCTACAACTACGCCTGTTCCCAGGAAGTTATCGTCCACTGTTCCGAACGCCATTACTCCGAAACTATTGGAGTTTCCGGTCCGAGCAATAAAGAGAACAACCAGGTTTAATTAATTAATTGCTAATTTTGTACTTTTGATGAAGTTTAAACTACAACACGTGTTTGTGTCTGTACGTAGGTAAAGAGGGAAAACCTTGAATTCTGAAAGGTGAACGTATTTTTGAAAGCAAAAAGAAAATCAATGATGAAAAGAATCCCAGTGATGATCGCTAGAGATCCGAGAGCAATGCCGATTGTGTCTGAAATAAAATAAAGTGACAGTTGACGTTATTTGAATTAACCCTCGATTAAAGAGTTAGATGCCCAATTCACAACTGTACCGTTAACTCTTAAAACCTCTTGTTGAGTAGCACTGTACGGACTGTACGTGAACAAACTATCGTCGTTTTTCCATCATGCTTGTGATTTCCCTCCATGTGTGTGTTGCAGATTAATCCGCTAGTCATTTATAGAAAGAAGTTACATCGGGAAATTATCATTATTCAGATAGAAAATAAAAAATATCTTCATCATTTTTACTAAAACGAAGGTTATGATTGGGCATACCCACTTTTCAGCTAAGGGTCAAATTGAAAAAAAGGAATTGATTTTTTGTCACAAACTCTGATTTTCCATTTTCCTATATTTGTGAAACCCAATGTGGTATAGACCTTAGATATTCAAAACTATTAGTTGTGTTAAATCAAATAATCTATGTTTGAAATATCTAAGGTTTACACCATCAGGTGGAAACTTTAGAATCCCGACTGTTTAATCCGATTATCCAATGTGGACACTCTTAATGTCCATGCTTAATCCACTCTTTTTATATTTAGTAGAGAAAAATCCAAAACCAGCTCAAAATTAGAGAGTCCCTCGACCGTCTCTTAACTAAATGAAAGAACTCTTATTAAATGGCGCGCAAAATTTCAAATTTTCCGGATTCTGATGCACCAATCTGATAGGTTGAATTTTAAACATTTTTCAGGATACAAGTACAAGATTAGGTTAGTCCCAAGATAAAAAAAAAATAGAGGATCAAGCATTGATCTCGATATTCACCATTCTAAAATTCCCAGCTCTGGTTTAAAAGATAAAGAGATTAAAAAATTTGAGTTTGTGGCAATGACTCAATTGTTGTAGTCGACTGCAATCCCTTCAAAGGGATTGTTCAGAATTTTAAATGTGAAGATGAACATTGTGCAAACTATGGACAAGATTTCTACAATATATTGTAGTTTTCTTTTCCAAGGCAGAAAACATTTTTAAAATTAAAATTTTAAAAAATTTGGGTTCAGAACATGTTGATCAAATATTTAATAATTCTTTAATTGATGAAAGGAATTTTTTCCACAAAATTTCAGGATGCATTCATGATTTCGGAATGCATTCATGATTTCAGGATGTATTTATAATTTCAGGATGCATTCATGATTTCAGGATGCACATTCATGATTTCAGGATGTATTCATAATTTCAGGATGCATTCATGATTTCAGGATGAATTCATGATTTCAGGATGCATTCATGATTCCAGGATGCACATTCATGATTTCAGGATGCATTAATGATTTCAGGATGCACATTCATGATTTCAGGATGCATTAATGATTTCAGGATGCACATTTATGATTTCAGGATGCATATTCATGATTTCAGTTTGCACATTCATCATTTCAGGATGCAAATTCATCATTTCAGGATGCACATTCATGATTTCAGGATGCATTCATGATTTCAGGATGCATTCAGGATTTCAGGATGCATTCATGATTTCGGGATGTATCCATGATTTCAGGATGCCTTCATGATTTCGGGATGTATTCATAATTTCAGGATGCATTCATGATTTCAGGATTTATTCATGATTTCAGGATGCACATTCATGATTTCAGGATGCACATTCATGATTTCAGGATGCACATTCATGATTTTAGGATGCATTCATGATTTCGGGATGCATTCAGGATTTCGGGATGCATTCAGGATTTCAGGGTGCATTCGTGATTAGATTGTGAACTGATTAGTATTATTATCATTCAGATAATTTTTTTATTAACAAAAATCCTTATATTCATGATCTAAAAGAAATCATAATTTAATAGGAATTTACTTTATTTTTACAAACATTTATTTTAAGGTTTTTATTTGAGGCAATTGAATATTGCATTATAAAAACACAACAACTGTGCTAATTGCTAATCAGAAAGACCCGGAATTAATGTACAATTAATCAGAGGACTTACAATCTAATTTTACAAATATGATTGATGAAACGATAAGCACAACATAAACCTATTCCTGCCCTTTCCAAAATGTGATCTGCCTTTTTTGAGCATTTAAAATTGCCAGAGATATATATGTCAAATCACCTGATTAACTTTCAATTAATTCCGTGTCTTTCTGATTATGACTGTATGTAAAAGTATCGCGGATTTTCTGTATTTATTACGTAATTAATGCATACCCCTGCTTCCCATCCTGTTATCGTATCCATATCTGGAGTAGGTTTGTATAGCCACTGAACCGATGGCGAGGTAGAGGATCCCTCCGACCAGGTTGATGAACAGCTCCAGGATGGACAGGTTGGCTCCGACCATGTAGGAGAGTAAAACTGCGGGAACTATGATGGCGTATCTGCAACAAATATTTCTCTTTCTCTAATATCAAAATCATCTGCTAATTGCGCATCTCTATATTTCAAAACTATCTGACATTTGTCCATCCCTACATTGACAATTCATTCATTTATACAAATCAAAATTATTCGACAATTGCTCATAATAAAAAATCTAATTTGGCTGGTCCCTATAGTTCTTTTCCTTGCAATTAAAAATCATATGACTCTAACAGTTGCCCATCCCTACATTAAAAAATTATCTGACAGTTGCCCATCCCTACATATAAAAATTATCTTCCAGTTGCACATCCCTACATATAAAAATTATCTTTTAGTTGCACATCCCAATAAACCACAATTATATCACATTTGCCCATCCCTACATAAAAAATTGTCTGAAAGTTGCACATTCCTACATATAAAAATTATCTGACAGTTGCCCATCCCCAAATATAACAATTATCTGACAGTTGCCCATCCCTACTTACGCAACGACTGTTCCGTTTCCCAAGAAGTTTGCGTCAACTCCCCCGAACATCATCATTGCGTAACCTCTGTGTCCGAACCTAGTGATGAACAAAACTATCATCACCAAAATCTAGGAATAAAAAGGTTTTAGTTTTAAAGGGATGTTTCACAAATTTATAGAAAAAATCTCTTTAATAGATAATTAATTTTACAAAAAAGAGAATTGTAAACCAAGTTATTGTAAATCTATAATTCTAACTTAATTAGAAATATCCTGTGCTTTGTCTTTTTTTCAGGATTTTGAGACTGTTTTGATTTTGGAATGCCACCTTTAAAGCAAATCATAAAGAATTTATTTTTAATTCATAATTTCATTTGACATCGTATTCAATTCTATCTCATTTTCCCAGAGATTGTATAGATCTCTACTATTGGTAAAATGTTCTAAGGTTTGACCATGTGCCGAGATCAGTACAAGTCTAATGAATTTAACTCTTAAATTCAAAAGTTTTCAGGTCAAAGGCTAATATCATAAGTCATTCAAAAGTGTCCAGCTATGACTGATCCATAAAGTTTAAATTATTTTGCTTAATTTTTTAGAATTGATTTAACAAGAACTTCTTTAAAAAATTTTAAAAGGGAAAAGGTTTTTGCCACAAATTATAATTTTATTATTCCTAATCTTTTCAATCCGATGTTGTAGACCTTTAATATTTCAAACTATGAATTCTGTTAGATCATATTGCAAGAGCTCAGTTCTCTTGAAATGCCAATTTGTAAAAAAAAATTAATAAAACTTACAAACTCTGCTATTTTGAGGAGTCCAGGTGGAGTCCTGAAAACGCTGGTTGTCCAAGTGATTCCCATTTTCCTGAAGTAAATCCTCAATCAACAATTCAAATTTAAAGATTAATGATAATTTGAATCTGTGATTCAGGATTTGAACCGGCTGTAGTGTAGTAGTTTAACGACCTATCCAGTTAATTAAATTTGGTCCCAGGTATTTTAACCGACTTTTCAAGAGACAGCTAATCTATTCCTTGAGCAGACTTCAAAGAAAAAGTCAAGAAGCGTGATTCCCAGTACCACTCCTGTATGATGAGTCCATTAGCCCTCATCCAATCAGGGTTCAGTCATGTGTTTGTTATCTATTCTGAACCAATAGAAATAGTATGGCGGTAATTTCTATATTTCTATCTAACTCATTATCCAATTAGAGTAATGAATTCTTCTATCGGCGCTATCAGTAAATGTAAATATTTACTTCTACTGAAACTATAATGCAGGTTAAACATTTATCATTTTCAATTGCAGCAAAATGACTTATATTATTATTATAATCATTTATTATTATAATGATTTTTTATAATCATATTCCTCCTAATTTTATCAGTTATTCTTATAAAAGGAATCTTGACTGTAAAAACTAAAAACTATCGTGTCATCTATATAAGAAAGCTCTTTGCTCATATACATGTCAGCTTAGGTGGCCAAACGCGCGGATGAACCAAATGGGCTTAGATTTTTTGAGGGAACCCATGGGTACTCTAGGGGTAACATAGGCTAAAGAAAATTTGTATTTTTTTTGTTTCAAAATCTTTTTTTTATTGGATTTTTTTTTAATTTGCCTCCTAATATTTATTTTTCTTTTGAAAAATTTTTAAAAATGAAGATTAAAAAGGTAGAAGAAGAATGAGTTCTGTAAATAAACAAAATATATTTGTTTAATGTCTTGACTCAAGGTTTGTTTAACATACTTCATACTTGTACACTGAGAGGTGTGGATAGTCAGGATATTTAATAAAATCTATATTTATATACTATGCTTGTCTGTCTGTCAGGGTGTTCGTATCCAATAAACGTTAAAATGGCTGAAACAAATCGAGCCCAAACTTATGCAACTAAAATTACGAAAATTTCTCTCAAAAAAATGTTGATTTTCAGGAAATTTTGAAAATCCACGAGAAAAAATTAAATGATTAAATGAAATATTTATATCAAGATAGAACATTATTGATTTATTAAGGGTGATAAATATAATATCTTTGATAAAAGTTATAAAACAAAACTGCATCAATATTGAAGACTGGAGTATATGGGGGGGGGGGGGCACAAGATGAATCCAATTTACCTTTCAATTCTAGAAAGTGTCTTTTTGGACCCATTTTTTATATGTTTATATGTTATATCTTGGCAACCTGATGATGTACACCTTTTAAATCTCAAACTAATTTCCATCTACTTGACCAAGCAGTTTTTTTTAGTTTGATATTTCAAAGGTCAAAGACGTCAGTTTGCAAAGATAAATGAAAATAAAATAAATGTCAATGAAATAATACATTAAACAGTATTCAAATTTTGTTATTTATTTAATTCAGGTTAGAAAGATAGATAGCCCACTTAATTATACGTTCTTGATGAATTTCGATTTCAAAATAAAAAAAACTTACCAATTCGATAAACTTGAGAATACCAGAGGGAGTTCTCAGGGTTTCTGTGTGGAATGTTACACTCATTTTGATCTAAAATATGTACATACTATTTATAAAAGGAATTGAGTTTATGCCACAAACTCTAATTTTCTAATACCTATATATATCTCTATAGCTTCTGATGTTGTCGACCTTTTATATTTCAAACCATACATTCTGTTAGATCAAATATAGTCTTAGTTTGAAACATTACAACGGTTTACAACTTTAGGTTGCTAAGATATAAGGATTAGAAAGGTTATTGAAATGTATTATATAAAATTCCAATTGCGCTGATACTCTTTCTTATGTTTACTAACAAAATGGGTCCGTCCTAGAGAACGATTTTTGGACCACCCTCACAATCTGTAGTCATCGATTATTTTTCAACGCATTCGTATATAGTTAATATTGTATAATATTTTTATTTGTTTTGTATACAATGCTCTTAAAACGCCGAAATAGTTGGCCGCCAGGTGTCTCTGCTCTCGACGATTATACGTGGCAGAGACACCTAGCGGAAATAATGTAGTTTTANGATTCAAAAATCGTTCTCTAGGAAATTACCAAAAAAGGATTTGACTGGCAAAAACTCTTGAAACTCTTATATATTACGATCCATAGGATAAATTAAGCTTTGAATACAGTCATTTTTATGACTTCGATTAATATTAGGAAAAGAAAGAAACTAGTTTACAGAAAACAGACAGTACATTCGTCTCTGAAGTCTCATCCTTTGTACCCTTCCCCTGGAGCCTTCGCACCTTGACTGTTATCAAACGTGTATTCAAAAAGAATATCTAATCGGGAAGAAAGGAGGGGTGGGGTGGGGAGGGGGGTAGATAGATAGATACGAGGCCCCTGACTAAACATCAAGATATGTGTCGTGTGCAAACCCTATAGTTTACGGTCAACCTGCGCCTTAGTTGCCGTCAGAGCTCTTCAATCCTTTAATATGCGTCATTTAACAAGAACCGACAGAAACCAAGATAAAATTGAATGCGTAATCAATAAATTACGTCTTGAATCTGGGTAGAGGAAATGGGGGGGGGAATAAAAAAGTTGATATTAGACGCAATATGAAGCACATTTGTAAGTATGTAATGTATAAGAAAAGGAAATATTTGAGACTTCAGAGACGACTGTACGGAATTTGTAACGTTAGATTGAAATTTTCAATCATTTATCCTCTCTGCATTGTAGAGCTCATAAGAAGAAGAAAAACATTTTTTTAAATGTAACCGTGCGTAATTGTGTGTGAAATCAAAACTGAAGGTATTAGTACAAGGTCACAAAGTCCTACTATAGCATTAACACATACTACTTAAAAAAATAACAGTTAAAAAGATAAGTCTGGTATTACTTTGAACGCTAGAGTTATGACTTCGGGATGTAGACTCAAGACTTAAATCTATCCCAGCATCTGATTTATAGTCAGTGGTCCTTTACTTTCAATCCCATTTCCCAATTAAATGTGGATTTTTTATCTTTCTCTTTTGTTGTGCTATACGTTGCGCTTTTTTTGATGACTTTTCGATTGAAATAGTTTCTCATAGTTTGTTTCGTTTAAAACTCTGTAATAAAAGAATTTATTTGTGCAGGAATAAAAAGACGTAAGAGATGTTTGAAAATAATTTTTAAGAATTTGCAGAATAAAATTTATAATAGAAAATTTGTTCATAGCTAGAATTTTTACGCCACAAAAATATTTCACTGCGTAACTTTTTACCATATAAAAGAAGATGAAAGAAACTTATGTAGTAAACACCTACTCCATAACAAGTTCTCCAGACGTATCTATCCAGGTACAATTCGTCTGCTATAAAACTTAATCAGGACTGAATCCAAGTCTTTAAATGCCACACAGGGACACAAGCGTAGCTATCAAAATCCAGCTACTAATACAGTGTTCTACCAGGACAGAATTCCATGCTCTAAATGCCATATCTGGACACAAGCGTAGTTATCAACCAGCTATATATAATATATATCGATTCCAAATGATAGGGATGATCCAATGTTCTGAATGTCACACAGGGACACAATCTACACGGCTACAATCCCTTGACTAATCAATGCCACTACACAGGGTGCGATCTCGTTAGCTATCAATGTCAATGAAGACACTGCAATCATTTGATCAATGTCTCAACCAGGACACGCTCCACACGGCTACAATCCCATGACTAATCAACGCCACAACACAGGGCGCGATCTTGTTAGCTATCATTGTCAATACAGACACTAGCAATCAATACCAATACTCAAGGTATGATCTTCAGTAAAAGTTTAAGGTGCATATTTATAAGATTAGAGAGAATAGATATAACACAGTTAAGCTATCTCCATACATGTTTTATATCTTAATTTAAGTATGTCGCATTATTTAAGCTATTCATGTTAAGTATTCAATTAAAACGCAGTTTCAATGAATAATGTCGTTATGTCTGTTTACAACATTAAATCATTAATAATGTACAACGTACTGCAAGCTTACCATGTTTACGCGGTTTTTGCTACACTGAGAACTATGAATATTTTAATCTAAGCCGTATTCCTTAAATGATTTCTCAAAAAGTGTATTTAAACATTTTGAGACTATATAAAACTATTGGCTTCCAGGGCACTTCGTGCCAATCTTTGATTATACATTTTCTTAAATCAATAAAAACAAATTTTAAGGCAAATATTTAATTTTTGAACATCCATAAACCTTCCCTTGGGTCATATTAAAACCCACAAAAAAATTGGGCACGATCAGTTCACTCGTTTTGACGTTTATTAAACATAAACTTTAAAAGACAGACAGACAAGCTTTTAGAGTCCCGCCCCACCCACTCCACCTGTAGTCTGTCAACTGTGTTTACGAATGTCACTTTAAAATAAAGAATGAGAAAAAAAAACAAATAAACAAATTGAACATATATTTTGTATATATAGACATCTAGACAGTTTATTGAAAGAGAAAATGAAATAAATAGATTTATAGAATTTCTTCACATTTAGATCGATTCATTAAATATCAGTTGTAAAGTGTTAATCATGTGCTCATACAGTGGTAACTAGAAAACATGGGAAATATCATATGGACTAGAATTTTAGCTGAGAATTTGTCAGTTTTAACAATTGCAACCTTTGTGAAATTTCGTCATTAAAAGAGAGATGAAGGTAACAATCATTTCACTGTTTTCTGGATACCACTGTGTTCCATTCCATATTGTTATTTTCTAAAAAAAAAAATAGAAATATTATTTATAGAAAGCAAATAATTATCATACAGGTTAAGCAAGTAAGCAAATGGCAATACTTTTTTTTAAGAAATAGTTTAAACATGTTTGATATTTTAAAATTGAGTTGTCTGTTAAAAATATATTTTTTTAAAATAAAAACAAATTAAATAAATGCCAAACATTTTTTTCAATAGATTTTGGCCCATTGCTAATTAATTAATTAATTAATTAATTANCACATTAAGTAGTTTTTGTTGTACTGGAGATTTTCAATATCACAATTTCCTTACCAATCATCATGGAAACAACATAAATTATAGATTTTATTGATTCTAATAAATAAAAAACAATAATTTAATCTTACTGTTTATATCCAATAACTGTCAATATGGTTGAACCGATTGGACCCAACTTTTGTGTGGGATCTCACATGGCCCTAGGGAATGTTTATGAATGAACAAAATTAAAAAAATTTGCCTCCATCAAAATTCGATTTTCATTAAATTTTTTAAAATTTTGAAAATCCACGAAACTTTTTGTTTAAATCCGCGAACTTTTTTTGTTTTGTTTTACAATGTACAAAAAAAAAAGGTTCACAATTAAAATAGAAGATGGGCGCGAAGCGCCCTAAAAGCCTATTATATATATTAGTCACAAAGAATAACAAGAAACTAATTGCATGTTAAATATACATAGTACATCTATACTGATGGTATAAGTAAACTAAACAGAATTTTGTAAACATTTACGTTGTAAAATGACACAAATTTGTTTTGCAAGGGGTACTAATGTATCTTAATTTACAAATATGTACCCTCTTGGCTTCACTGGACTTATAGAATGTCGTCTTCTAAATATATTCGAGCCTGGTGTTTGTCCAGTCTGGATTATGTGAGCGTCAATTGAAATTTAGTCGATAGCAAACAGATTATTAAGTACAATAGATGGCAACCTAGAATTTGTACACTCTCTGTACAGCTGTATTCTTACGTCACAAGTGTCAACAGTTGTATGTGTACGACTAAATTATTAATAAAAGTGATAATAAAGTGCTTATCTTACAGTGAAAGTAGTGGAATTTTGTGTGTTTTATTTTCTATTTTTACACTTTTTCCTTTAATATTGGAAAACATGTCAAGTAAGGGAAGAAAATGCTGTTTTTCTTGTTATATTTGACACTTGTGACGTCGTTTTTAATTGGTCCATTTCTCTGTTGCCACCTATTGTACTTAATAATCTATTTAGTGGATAGTCGCTTTAAGCAGATATATAATTTGATTAAAGTGCACATTAACCTAGTTCTGAACACACTGTGCTCCCTCTATATTTACACTGAGATCAGAGTCTGGCAGAGAGAGAGAGGCAAAGAAAATAGATAAGTATAGAGTGGAATTAAGACTCTAAAAGTGTAAAGCCATTTTATTGTTCTGTTTCCATACTGCAGGTGTACTTCACACATTGGTGCTATACAACCTTTTGGACTCTGGAACATCTTTTGGGCTCTGGAACATCTTTTTATAGAAAACAAATTTCTTGAAAATTATTTAATCAATTCATCTGACAACCTGTCATGCATTCCCGAGTTCATTTCAGCAAAAGCTTTACTTTACATACCCGAGTTCATTTCAGCATAAACTTTATATAAAGAATAAATTGTAACGATATATGTCCAGGGATTATGCTGTATTCTTGTGATGCACTGAGTATAATTTGTGAACAGTTACATGAATTGTACACTTTGAACTCCTTTTCAGGCTAAAAGGGAATAAAAGAATTCATACCGAGGAATAGTCTTATATCCCTTCTATTCTAATCTGTGTTCTGTAGAGAGAGGACTTGTTTACGATTTGAAGAGCTTTCCTCAGATTATATTCAACTAAATTTGTTTTCTTTAAACACTCCTTCTCCACACACCCTTTTTCTTTCTAGTTCCTTTCAATGTCTGAATATTTCAGGGAATTACACCCACTCGGTCCAACCATACTTCATACCCGGTTTTTAGTTTTTAGGATCATTTTTAAAATATAAATTTTTTTTTAAGGATCAAAAATAGTTTTGCAAAGTTGTGAAATGTTTGCATTTTAAGATTTAGGTCACAACATTCCCAGGAGATATGTTTGCATGAGATTAAATCTTTTTGAACTAAATTTTGTTTGTATTTCTCTCCGCACAGAACAAATATCATAACAAAAGTTTTTATTGAAAAAAAATATAGAATTTCATGACTTTTTAAATTTCAAGTCTGTGACATAAAAGAAATATGACAAAAATGTTTTGAATATCAAAAAGTATATTTATCAGAGGAGTTTACAGGATTTTAGCCAGGTTGGGGGGGTTAATTAAATATGTTGGATTCAAGAAAAGACACAATTTTTGATTCGTGTGTTTCATTTTCAAAAGAAAAAAATGAGATTGCTAGGAGTCCAGGGTGAGGAGTGCTTTCACATTTAATCAACTTGGTAAAATTCACTGATTTAATTCCGGGTATCAATGATAACTATGGTGAGAACTAGATCTGTGTATATGTCTATATACTAGAGACCTAGCTCTGTGTATATGTCTGTATACTAGAGACCTAGCTCTGTGTATATATCTGTATACTAGAGACCTAGCTCTGTGCATATGTCTGTGTACTAGAGAACTAGCTCTGTGTATATGTCTGTATACTGGAGAACTAGCTCTGTGTATATGTCTGTATACTAGAGAACTAGCTCTGTGTATATGTCTGTATACTAGAGACCTAGCTCTGTGTATATATCTGTATACTAGAGACCTAGTTCTGTGTATATATTTGTATACTAGAGAACTAGCTCTGTGTATATGTCTGTATACTGGAGAACTAGCTCTGTGTATATGTCTGTATACTAGAGAACTGCAGCTGAACTATGGTTGTATTATGAGTCACTAACTCTTTCTATCCCCAACCCCTGGCTTCAGCTCAATATCTTCCGGGTTCCCTGTTCTGTATCTTGGGTCCTATATACTTTATACATACCACTACAGTTTCTTAAGATAGGACAAAATATTATCACCATTTATATGATAATAATAGTAATCTTCTCATTTAATTGTACAATGCACATTACAATGTACAATGTATAATGTACATGCGTATACTTAGGACAGATATAAAAACCAAAGCAATTTTAAAGTGACTGTAGACGTAATTTTCAAGTGACCCTCCATTTCTAGAGTGGCACAACCTCCGATTCAGAACCCCTTAGGCATTTCTTCAATCATAATTGAATGATAAAGCTTAAAATTGATTATTTATTATTGTGGTTTCTTTTTAAAAACTGCTTGCGTATTAATGTAGCAGAGAAAAAGAAGGAAAATAACACTAGAATAGTAGCTGGATCTCTTTTGAATCAGACAGTTAGGAATGAGTTCATTTTAAGAGAAATTACTTTGTTGTCTTGTTACTCTGTTAGTTTTTTTTATTTTATATCCAAGAGTAAGAAAGGTAATCTTTTGGGTTGAATATAATGCTTTCAATAACTCTTTAGAGCAAAATGTTAGTTAGAATTTTTATAAGATGATGTAGTCTTATCTGTCTAATGTTTGGGTACAACCATTAAACTGCAGGTCCTACCCTTAGAAGAACAGTTCAGACCGTATTAAAAATTAAAACCAGTTTACTATAGACAAGAACAAAAATCTAGGTTTGAAGCTAAATTCAACACCCCCCACCCCATCTGTACCATCTAAGTCCTATAACAAACCATAAAATGGATGTTACTGAATGTCGTCCAATCTTTATCAGTCCTTTTATGAGAAAACCTAGAAGCAAAAACAAACAAAAAATATCAGGATTTTTACCAAAAATAACAGTATTGTAAAAGAGAAAAATACTCCGTGATTTAAAAGAATTATTGAAACCAGAACAAGTATTTTACACCAGAAACATGCTCCGGGATTTATATAAAACCTAGAAGAAACCAAAAACAGTATAGAACACAAGAAATATTGAAAACCAAAAAGAAATGAGAATAAGTATTGTACACCAGATATATGCTCCAGGATCGACTTATTTAAAAACCTATAAAAAAACAGAAACAGTATAGTACACCAGAAATATGCTCCGAGATTTATATAAAAACCTAGAAGAAATCAAAATAAATATTGTACACCAGATATATGCTCTAGGACTTATTTAAAAACCAAGAAGAAAACAGAAAAAATATTTTATTTATTTATTTAAAACCCAGAAGAAACCAAAACCAGTTTTGTACAGTCGTCGTCATATGTATCAATACAATAAAGACAACTTTCTATTTCAAGCTTTATTTCTACCAATCCAACCGCTTCGATACACATAAAATGGAAACAAAGAGAAACTGACAGTTTTCTTTTAATGTTTACTTGTAAACTTGTCATTGGAAAAAAGATTGGTAGAAATCCAAACATAAACAAAGAAGTCGTCTTCATTGTATTGATATGAACTCCGCGACCACCGTACACCAGTAAAATGCTCCATGATTTATTTGAAAACTTAACAGAAATCGGAACAAGTATTTAACACTTTATAGGGCGTACTTAAGGTCTCATTCTTTGTAGGTAACCCTGTATCTCCGTTTTTTAAAAGGGCGTACACAGGGGGGTGGGACAAGGGGACAGTGCCCCCCCTTCCTAGAACTCAGATCTATAAAACTTTTCAAATCTGTAACTGAGGAGTGAAGAGCATAAAAAATTAGTTTTCTGTTTTTTTTCTCCTAGTTATGTTTGAAGGAGAGATGAAGCTAATTGAACTGTATGTTTACCTTTAAAGTATCAAAGAAGCCAAATGCTTTGAATTTACAGTTCAAATTTTGCGCCCCCCCCCCCTCTATGAGCTCCTAGGGGGGGGAGGGCAATTTTTTTTGGCGCTTCGCGCATATTCTGCCCCACCTTGATTTATTTCTGTGTACGCTTTTGGTTTCAATCCTCCCCTTTTTGCTCATCCCCTCCTTCTCTCTTTCTATATATATTTCTGAATCTTCGAACCATGTGTTCCAGTGCACTGAATGCTTTTATTAGATAATGGTTATTCTCTGCCCTCTACAGTATATATATCATATACTAGCTGTTTATATATTATTACTCATTTTATATTGACTCCGCCGCCGTTTATCCGCGCTTGGTAGATTACATCATGACTTTAACCAAAATTGCCTGATGTTACCTGTGGAATTAAAAAAATGCCTTTGTCACCCCTGGGGTTTCCATTAATTGGTTTATTAAAAAATTTCAGCCTGCAGTTGGTCTAGCAGTTTGGGATGACTAATAAATTACCAATTCAAGGTAGAATATATAAAGATATCATACTAGCCTTAGAGGGCGCTTCGCGCCCATCTTCTAAATTAATTGTGAACATGTTCTCTTTGTGTACATCGTAAAACAAAACAAAAATAATTAGCGGATTTTCTCCAAAAATTTCGTGGATTTTCAAAATTTTCAAAAATTTAATGAAGATCGAATTTTGATGGAGACAAATATTTAAAATTTCAATCATTCATAAACCTTCCCTGGGGTCCCTCGATGTCCCACAAAAAATTTGGGCCCGATCGGTTCAGCCGTTTTGACGTTTATTGGATACAAACAGACAGAAAAACAAACAAACAAACAGACAGACAAGCCAAATTTATATATAGATATAAGATGAAATCCGGGAACCTATTGTAATAAATCTGCAAGTTCAAATTTTGTCAGGATTAATCTACTGAAGATTGTACAAATAGTATCGAGATTCTGAAAAATATTAGTTATTTATTGTAAAAATAATACATTCCGAAATTTGAAGTTGATATTTAAATATGATTAATATGCTTTAGCTAAAGAATGTACTCATCCTAAATGTAATGTTTTTCCTTTTACTTTTCAGGATGCACGTTAGGTCCAAAAATAATATTGCGTATCGCCAATTCATTTTACTTTCACTTGTGCTTTGAATTTTTTAATACTTGCTGCAGCTCTAAAATATTGTTTCTACAGTTGAGTTTTGATGTTCTATGTATTCCGCTCCCGTACCCTTGGTAGACTTTGATCAATCAGTTCTTAATACTACGAGAGAGTAATCAATATTGTATCTTAAACCCTAGAGTTCATCGAAATATTTGTAAGGGAATGTTCAGGAGTTTTAAAAGACTATGATACAGGGTATCCCAATAAACATTTGATATCGTCTTTGTGATATGTCGCCTGCTGGAGTTCTCAATTTGTTTCTGTAAATGTAATGCACTTATTAAAATGAGAAATTCCTCAAACCACATGTGTTTCTCCTAACTGGTTATCCCCAAATGTTTGACATTTTGCAGAATAACAAAATACATTAAGTAAAGTCTGGTAGACGTATCTTTATTATGACTATTGAAGTTAGGTAATTTGGTTTAATTGAATTATATATTCCGAAAGACACAGAATTTCTTCTGGATACAAGGAGGCTACGTCTTTCAGTCCTTGCGTGTGGCAACCATTTCTACGAACTGTCTGATAAGGAGACAGAAGCGTGATTTCAAGTGATCCTCCATTCAAAGATGGCAAAGTCCTATTCACAATGGTACCCTAGCTTGAAACCTAAATATTTAATTAATAATGTGGAATATTTTGTCGTTATACCAGTTTTAAAACTGATCGTTCATATGCCAAGTCACTTTTATATATTATCCACAATTAATTCAATCAATTTTAATACATACTTAATGGCAAAGCTTTCAAGGGTACCATTGTTAATTAGGCATTGTTATCTTGCCATCGAGGGTTCCTTGAAATTATACTTCCGGTCCCTGTAATCTTTTAAAAAAAAATACAATCGAATTAATTTTCTCTGTGTTTATCTTCCATTCAATTTATCTGGAATGGTTTTCCTGACGTTCCACGATTTAGATATTTTCAACCACATTTTTTTCAAGATGTAAATTGCAGACATTTAGTCTCCGACAAACCGATGGCGAACTTAAAAATTCCAGAATTATTTACCCGACATCTTCGCCATCGGAACATATGGTCGGTAAAAATGTCATGTATTGAGCATGAAACACAGTGTAAACGGACACATTCCACTAAATTAGTGATTTAAAAAGTGTAAAACTATTTGCTTTTTAACAACATATGAATATTGTTTTAAAAAGTGTAAAACTATTTGCTTTTTAACAACATATGAATATTGATTGTAAAACTATTTGCTTTTTAACAACATATGAATATTGTTATGAAAAGTGTAAAACTATTTGCTTTTTAACAACATATGAATATTGTTTTAAAAAAGATGATCAATAATTAGTATTAGGATTAAAATATATTTATTGACTATAAAAGTTAAAATGTTTACATTATTCTTTCATAATTTACAATTGAGGGTTTGCATATGATTATTCAATAGAAGAGATTGAAATAATCAGTGAGTAAAGGAGGTTCCAAGTTTCTAAATATATATAGAGGGAAATATATATAATATGCGCGATATATATTAACAATTAATTTTCGTTTTTTTTGTACTTTGTACAATAAAGTATCAAAAATTTTGGCTAAACCACTTATTCAGCTGATGGCTAATATATCTTCTATGAAAATTATTACTTTCATGATTAGTTTAAATATGGTTGAATTTACAATAACATTTTTACCTAGAGACAGAGGTACATAATCTTAAAATAGTTTTNAATATAGGAAATATTGAGCTGCAAAATAATAGCATTAAATTTCATATCCATTGGAAATTCCCTCGCTCCTCATTAACCCTGAAGAAGTAAATAGGAAAATAAAACTTTTTTTAGAAACAATTTTTAAAATAAATGTACACCCCCCTGCCTCTTTAATATAAAAAAAGATTTTTTAAAATCTCAAAATAGTAATTTAGTTGACTTTTACAGATCTAGGATCTATAGATAGATGCCTTTGGTTTAATTTGTAGGATTCACATTTTCCTTCTCGTCTCCTTCAGTCACAGTTTTCTGCTTCTCTGTGACTTTGTTGTAATGGTTCAGTTTCTCCGGGAGGGTTTCATTTACAACATTATCATTGCTATCTTGGTCAGAGATATCCTTCTGGATTGGTTTCACGAGGATAGATTCAGAATAAAGATTTAATTTTTCCGGAAGGGTTCCATCTACAGTTATATCCTCAGTTATTTCTTGGATTGGTTTCGAGGGAGCAGGTTCAAGTTGAAGGTTCTCTCGACTCTCTATTTCAGAGACGACATCGTCCTGGATGGTTTCGCTGCAGAAAATTTTATCTTTGAGCTGGTCTTGGTTCTGTTTCTCCGGATAGATTTGTTTTGGAGTAAAATTAACTAAGCTTTTCTCATAGGAGATAAAATCGTCCTTCTCCGGATTTACCAGGATAGTTTCTTGTGGACGAACTGTGTTCTCTGTGAGCGCTTTCTCTGGAATATTTTCAGGATTTTCTTGAATATTACTGTCTTCGTTAATCTTCTCCGGGATTTTACTGCTCTGGTTGACATTCTCCGGCACGGTACTGTTCAGGTTATTATTCTCCGGGTGTGACTTTTCCGGGATAGTACTATCCTGATTATAATTCTCCGGGATGATACAGTCCTGGTTGAATTTCTCCGGCATAATATTGTCCTGGCTAAGATCATCCGGAACTAAACTGTCCTGGTTGTACTCCTCCGGGATTATACTGTTCTGGCTAATATCCTCCGGAACTAAGTTGTCCAGGTTGTACTTTTCAGTGATGATACTGTCCTGGCTAATATTCTCGGGATCTAAATTCTCCTGATTATAATTCTTTGGGATGACATTGTCCTTGTTAATATCTTCCGGAGCCAAATTGTCCTGGTTGAACTTCTCCGGACTGAAACTGTTACGGCTAATATTCTCCGGGTCTAAATTGTCCTGGTTGAACTTCTCCAGATTGACACTGTCCTGGTTAATATCCTCCGGAACTAATTTGTCCTGGTTGAACTTCTCCGAACTTACACTGTCCTGCTTAACATCCTCCGGTGCTAAATTGTCCTTGATCAGGTTCTCTTGAATTGTATTCTCCTCATTTAACGAAGTTAAATCAGAATCCTGTTCTGTAGGATTCAATCTGAAAAATAAACAGATGTTATAATTTCCAAAACCAGTGGAATTTGATTTAATAAACATATTTTCACACTCATTCAGTGGAATATCAATTAAAGAAATACGCCCCAGGATGTGATTTTTGTTTATCTGGTGGAGAAAATGAAGAAAAGGGCAAGTTTTTTCCATATTCTTGATACTTTTTTCTTAAAATTTATTTAAATTTTCAGGTGCACTGTTTTGCAAAAAAAATCATTTCCGCATGATTCTAGATTTTTGAATTAATTGCGGTTGTTAGGATATAAATTTCAGAACAAAAATATAAATTTCGAACAGATCAAAAATATTATTCCAAAATTTACGTTCGAAGGGATTGTCGAGCATTTGTCACATTTCTGTAAAAGGTGATTTATTTAATGAATATTGAAATAGAAATAAAAAAGTTGACCTATCTGAGCCAAGTAAGCGAATATATCCGACCTCCTCTAGATATTTTACTATATCCTCTTCCTCTATACTGTCCAACTAAACAATTTAATATTTAAAAACTTTAAAAAGTTTTTTTGTCCAATTATTTTTGTCATAATTTAGATTATTTTATGATGATTTTTAAACAAAAAATACTCCTGACGCAAGTTTAAACAAAAAATATAGGGAAAAAAAATAAAATTCGGAGATTTCTGGAATTAACAGACTTTATCGAGTAATAAGAGTAATATTCTTGATCCCGATCCGCAGGTTTGTGAATGGAACACGGGTAATAACATACTTTAGTTTACTTTAAAGGAACTGAACCTTTGCAAAAAACCTTCAAATCATATTCAGGCTTGCCAAATAAAGTTCAATGATAATTGCGGTCAACCTTTAATCCCTGGATCGGACTTGAGCTCCAATCTATTTTAGTAAACTCAAGATATTCCCTCAAACATATATTTATTGTGAGTTACTACACTTTTAATTTATCTATCCAACTTCCTTCTTGCTAGGATTGATTGAAGAATGAAGATGGAGTTAAATGTTATAAATCTTTACCGTTAAGGCGTGCTCATATTCTAGATGATAAATCAGCTGTTCCATAGGCTGGTCGGTAGACCAGTCACAGAGTACACAAAACCCAGGTACAGATTTATACTAAACAATACATAAGGAAAATTACTAAACACAGTAACATCTACAGAAAATAGAATAGAGTTGGCTGGTAAATATTCTTTGTTAATTTCTTCAATACATCTAAAAAAATCTGGAGTATCCTGAAGATAAGATGGGTGTAAGTTGGAAAAGGGTTTCAGAAAATTGTCCAGAATTAAACTTATATTCTCTGTGTAACTTCCTGAGGAGCAACTTATAAAAGGCTTACTAGGAGGGGGATCTCCTGGAATGCGAGTTTTATGTACTTTTAACAGCTGATAAAACTTCGCTGGTTTCATGTCATCAGCCAGCATAGCTTTAAGTTTTTCAGTTGTGATGAAATTCTTTTCAGCTGCCGTATTTAAAACAGACTTTATGAATAATTTATAATGAAGAGAAATTGCCGTAAAATGACCCAATGAAGAAAAATGACGGTAAAATCACTCCAATGTAGGAAAATTACAGTACAATCACCATAATAAATAAAAACCACCCCAATGACAATAAAATCATCATAATGAAAAAAACCGACAGTGAAATCACCATAATGAAGAAAAATGACAGTGAAATCACCATAATGAAGAAAACCGACAGTGAAATCACCATAATGAAGAAAACCGAAAGTGAAATCACCATAATGAAGAAAACCGACAGTGAAATCACCATAATGAAGAAAAATAACAGTGAAATCTCCATAATGAAGAAAACCGACAGTGAAATCACCATTATGAAGAAAAATGACAGTAAAATCACCCCAAAGAAGAAAAATGTCAATAAAATCCCTATATTGAAGAAAACTGAAATTGTGATTTTTAATTATAAAATAGTATTTAACCTTGTATAATATAGAGGACGCTATGTTGGGAGTAAATGATTCCTCAGGCTCTGAAAAAAATAAAAAATATAACTTTAAAAAAAACCTTGATGCACAGCACAAGCAATATTTTTTTTTTTTATGGCAACCCTTTTTAGTTTCCCAAGTTCAAAGAAACTTTCTACACTTTGCTTTAAATAAATGTCAACAAAAATATTTGTCTTCATAATAAATTAGTCCTAAATAAATTTAATAATAATAAATACAACACTTTTTGAATAAAAAAAATCCTATGCCAAAGGAAAAGTATATAAAAGTTTATTTTGAGCGAAGTCTTTCTTGAAAGTATGAAAATGACCTTGAAAGGCAAGTACAAAATTAAGAACATTAAAAAGTACAAAATATAAATGTTTCCCAATATATCTACACTCACAGTCGACATAGAATTAAGCATATCTAGGCCTTCCAGGGTGGAGGACTATGTGGGATCAACCCCCCCCCCTCATGAATCAGTATTTCTATGGGTTCAAGGAGGTTTTCAGTCAGGCTCACAGGGTTTTGACAGTTGAAGCCCCCCAAATGTTTTGTTTTAAAGCTCTTGGGATAAATTCCTGTATACGTCCCTAAAAACTAAGTCAAGTATCACAAAAGATAGTACAAGTTTAATTCTATTAATTTTATTAACTTATCTAATTAATATATATATATTTTTACCGTTCTAGTTGCTGGATTGTATCCTGGAGGTATCTCAGGGAATATGTACTCAACAACCTTCTTAGCTGCTCTTCCTTTCCCTCCCTCATAAATATTAGAAATAAGGAAAATGTTTTATTCGGTAGGATCCACAACATTTTGGTTTTATCAACCAACAACTGCAAAAACAAGTCTTTTGCTTTCAAAACTCAATCTAAACTGCTTCAAAAGCACTGGACTTTTATTAGAATTACTTTCCCAACACTTTCCCAGATTGATTTTTGCACTTAAAGGGAGAAATGTGACATGAATATTGAATATTCAACCTCTTGGAAAAAAATATGCTTTTCTCCGAAGAAAATTTTCTTCAAGAAAAAAACTTTTTACTTTATCAAAAAATGTGTGTTAAATTTGAATTAAAAATGTATCTTAAAGAAAATGGCGAGTAAATGATGGCTAAATAAATATTGATGATTTTTATTTTGAATTCACTTTGTTAAATTGAATGTATATAAAATTATTTATTATTGTTACCGATCTTGAAGCTGGTTTCTTGAGAGGGATTCTGTTTTCCACGGGAATATATTTCTCAACCTAATTTTCAACGAGTTAGAAAAAAATGGACTTAGAGGGATGAAGGTTTCAGTTACAAAATAATAAATATATAACACATAATTCTCATATTATCCGAATACATTTATTAAAGGGACTGTAGAGCGTAATTTCAAGAGGTCTCTCACTAGTAGAGTTGCATGTCTGATCCACAATAGTACTCTTTAACTGATAAAGGATGAAGGACCTATCCGTTATTAATACTTGTCTTTTAAATATTAATATTTACTTTCTGAAATCGAAAAAAATTAATATTTACATTTGAATTTTCACAACAGCGTTGAACATAAAATTATGGATTTTCTGGGAATGCATGTAACGTCAGTTGAGTTCACACTGTACGATAGCTTACACTTCAGTTTCATGGCGATTTGAATACCATTACAAAGATATCACAAGGAACTTTCTACACTCACTGATCAGTCAAAGGTTGAAAGGGTACCGTTGTAAATTGGACATTCCCTTTTTGCAAAGTTGGCAACTTGAAAATTCCCTTTTCCACCATTTAACAATCTCGATTGCACAAACTAGGGACGTACTAATCAAACAACCTTGCTATAATCAACAAAGAGCAAACGATTCAGAGATAAGACAACCATATTTAAAAGTAAATAAAAAGCTTTCTTTACCTCGTTGTGGACTTGTCCCATGTGGTCAGCCATCTTTTTCTAAACAAACAACACATTCTAATCATGAAAAAACAAAGGTTTAAAAATTTGAAGATTTTAGGGATGCTTAAAGATATCAAAACCATGGTCAACANATGAAAAATAATCTCTGACTAACGATATTAACCAAAATTATTTAACAAAATGATTTTTCAAAACTATTTAGAAAAATCATTTTTCAAAAAAATTAATTAAAATGATTTTTCACACAAAGGGTGAAGTAATAAAGTGCCACTTTCAAATTCAAAGTTCGAAAGGAACTAGTTACTTGCCTCAAACTCGAAATATCTTAGTCTATTATCTTTGCAACCAGACTGATGTTGTAAACTTTGACATTTAATAAATTCGGATTTAAAAAGTAAAATTTTAAGATGAAAGGTGTACTAAAGGTGTACACTGTACACCATCAGGTTGAAAAGATATCTGAATTTGCGAAAAGTGTTCTTTTATGTTGAACTGAGGGTAGTGATTCATAAGATTCGGTCCCAGAATGAATGTTTTGGGTCACTGAACTTCCTACTACCGGTTCAACTTTGAACCAACAATTCTAGTTAAAGATTCGGGAAGGATTTGAATCTGTGATTCAAATTTGGGAGTCCAGCGACCCCTCAAATTCATGAAATTTAATCCCAGAAGGAACTTCTGTCTAAAAATATTTACCCCGGATTCTACTTTATTGCAGCCTGGTACAGGACATCGTGTCAGGTTTTTAAACTCTTCCATCAGCTCAGCAGAGAAGTGATATAGACTGTAATGCCTGAACAGTCTACGTTGTTAATATCATAGTTAGTAGGTAAAGTAACCATCGTTGCCCGTGGATATTAAAAACACTTTAAAAAGTTGAATTTTAGGGTCACCATGTTTCCTTAATAAATTCATTCAAAAATTAAAATATATACTCTGCTGTACACTTAACATATTGAAATATGCATGGTTACTAGCCTGTACAGTTCAGATCTATTCATCCAAAAATTAAAATATATACTCTGTTGTACACTTAACATATTGAAATATGCATGGTTACTAGCCTGTACAGTTCAGATCTATTTGCCATTCCTGCCCTGGGTAGTTTTTTACAGAACACACATCTAACCAGTTCATTATTTGACTTCTTTATTTACATTTGTAACATTTAATCATTATACTTATATTTTTGTAAATATATATCTTTTTTTAATGATTTGGTTTTTTTTAAATAGAAATTAATTAATTGGATGAATTTAAGTCAAATGTATTCCTAAAATCATATAGCTGGCCGTCAATCATCTAAAAATGGGTAATTGAGTAAGTTTGTGTTTATTGGATTAAAAAAAAAAAAAAAAACAGACAGCAAAGTATATAGATTCTTAAGAAAATATCAGAAAACTGCAAGTTCAAAGAATGACACAGAACTACTTAGTCAATTGGCAACGTTTGAATAGACTAAACTAATCTTAATCGATTCAAACACGTTATACTCACAATATTTTTCTCATTGGTTTTAACCAATTTAGATTAGTTTAGTTAATTAGAAGTTATCTACTCCCTGGTAAATAAAAGTAATGATATCGCATTATTTCTCATTGGAATTGGAAAAATGTAGACCTTTCATCTTCTGCATGAATCTCTGAGTGGCTAGAGCCAAAATTTTGGATTTTATTTAGTTATCATAATTATATAATTTTATAACTATTTTCAAATGTTTATTTTAAATGTCTACCTTAAAGGGACAAGCTGCATCATCCTGTTCCTGCATTAGGCTGGACATAATAGTCCCACCAGTCGTCTTCTCTTTCACAAGTTGGTAAGTTAGAGGGATAGGGTTTGTACACACCTAATCAATTATATTATTATCATATTTGACAACCAAGGGTGTATATTTTTAAGAATTACCCCCCCCCCCCCGTAAGTTGGTAAGTTGGAGGGATAGGGTTTGTACACACCTAATCAATTATATTATTATCATATTTGACAACCAAGGGTGTATATTTTTAAGAATTAACTCCCCCCCCTTGGTAAGTTGGTAAGTTAGAGGGATAGGGTTTGTACACACCTAATCAATTATATTATTATCATATTTGACAACCAAGGGTGTATATTTATAAGAATTAACCCCTCCTCCCGTAAGTTGGTAAGTTAGAGGGATAGGGTTTGTACACACCTATTCAATTATATTATTATCATATTTGACAACCAAGGGTGTATATTTTAAAGAATTAACCCCCCCCCCAGTAAGTTGATAAGTTAGAGGGATAGGGTTTGTACACACCTAATCAATTATATTATTATCATATTTGACAACCAAGGGTGTATATATTTAAGAATTAACTCCCCTCCCCCCCTGTAAGTTGGTAAGTTAGAGGGATAGGGTTTGTACACACCTAATCAATTATATTATTTTCATATTTGACAACCAAGGGTGTATATTTTTAAGATTTGGGGGAAAACAAATGAAAACATGTAAGGACAAGTTTTTTTTATCTTTTTCATATTTTTCTCAACAAATCATTTATTTTCCCCATTTCAGCGAATAAAAATATTAACCTAACTTCTGGGGAAAAAGGGATTTTCGAAAAAGGGGGCGATAGGGAATAAATGATTTTTCATGAAAACATATATCCCTGTTGACAACCCTGCCCGTTTATTTCAAAGCATAAACGTAGGAGTAATCCCAGGGGACATTTTTTTAGATTCATCTTGTTGCAGCCCTATACTTTTCTAATTACAATTGAAAAAAATTTTTTTAAATCTTAAACATATTTTAGCTTTCATTGTAAACTTTTCATAAAAATATATCATGATAGGGGTATCAAAGTATCAAAGTATCCGACTAGAAACACTGGATATCGGTATTCTCCTCTCAAAAACTGATGGATATTCGATTTTCTATAAGTCACAAAATGCTCTCTCAACGTAGATAACCTCCAGAACGATTTATAATAATGTACGTTTTTACCATAGTTTTGAAAAATCGTTATAGTTAATATCTTTTGTCAGAGTACAAATTTTGTCTAAAATAATAAAAGCAAACATAACGAACATACAATTATTATTTTTATTCTTGAAGAGCCTCTGAAAAGTAAAAAAACAACTTTGAATGTCTAAAAACGGGCCTCAAACGATGCCAATCAACAACTTGAGACAGGGTCCTTTACAAGGTTGTATAATAAGGTTGCGTACTCTCGATGCGCTCCAATGAGTACGGAACATGTTGTCTCCTATGATAAATGGATAAATATCCCATATAACGTCACTGATTATAGAGGCAAGAGTGACGTTATACTATGTTTTTATCTGTCTATCTTAGAAGACATTTTCCGTACATAGTAGCGCATCGAGAGTAACAACCATTATAACATAACCTTCGTCCTTGGTGACATCTAAACATAAAAGTTCCCCTTAAAACCTAATTTGAAAGAAAACAGTGTGGATTTTTACCTTCTTGAGGCACTCTGCTCTTCCAATTTTAATCTGATGTTTGAACTGATGATTTATTCTGCAACTCTGACATGTTCCGCAATCTAGCCTTGTACACCCCTCACATTCTAGTACAATACAGTACAGTACATGAGGATTATGAACTCTCTTTGCAAAAATCTTGTTTTCTTCAATCTGTTAGGAATACTTGCGTTGAGCGGAAATTTTTATACAACAATGGTAATTGATGTTGTTAAAGCAATACTAAAGTGTAATTGATGTTGTTAAAGCAATACTGAAGTGTAATTCATGTTATAAAGCAATACTGAAGTGTAATTGATGTTATAAAGCAATACTGAAGTGTAATTGATGTTGTTAAAGCAATACTGAAGTGGAATTTATGTTGTTAAAGCAACACTGAAGTGTAATTTATGTTATAAAGCAATACTGAAGTATAATTGATTTTTTGATTTTTTTATTAGTAACCTATTAAATAATATATCATAACTTGTTTCTAACAGTCGTCTTTCTATTCTAGAGTTTTCTTGTTATCACTGTATTATAACTAGTTAACACGTCCTGCTATTTACCTTCACATCGTTTGGTTCTGCTTGTATGTTTAGAAGTGGAACTGGGTCTGTGTTTAGAAGGTCGAACCAGCCTCTCATTCTGCAAATATATAAAACTAGATTTTAGGATTTTATTCGCTGAACTGGGGAAACAAATAAAATTATGGGTTAAAAGTACAGGGGTATAAATTTTCATAGTGTGCACANCCTGAGTGAATGATTTTTTATCCTTTTTTGGGACTGTTATTCTGGAAAAAAATCAATTGAATATCAATAGGCAAGTTTTTTGTTCCCCCCCCCCTCTCTTTCATACTTTATACCCAGAACTTTATAGTTTTCCCTTAAGATCATTTATCAAAATTCAACGAATATAACCCGAAGAATTTAAAACAAACATCTGGAAGTATCAAAAGGTAAGAAAAGGTCTTAAAAAGGGGGAACAAATTTGCCAGTTCATGTCCAATAGATATTTAGTATAAACAATATATTGATAAACAAATCAGACCTTTAAAATGTTTCGCCCCAATTTTCATGGGGGGGGGGGAGAAGGGTGAATGATTTCAGGGGGAAACCTTGATGATTTTGACGGGGGGAAGCAAGACATTTTAGAATCCTGGAACCTGTGTTCATAAGAATAGTGGATAAGTGCGGATATTGGATCAGGACGTATACTGGATCAGGAGAAGCCTGGATTTAGACGGATCCTGGATCCGCGTACAAATAGACAAATAATAATCACCTTCGCTGACGTTCTTTCCTGCACTGTAGACACAGGATCAGAAGATTTTTCATTTCCAGGATTCAATGTTTTTATCTTTTTACTTGGAACAGGGGATACATCATTCTTTACATCAATACTTCGTGATCTTTTTGTTCCAACGCGACCTACACACAACCAGAGATTCAAATTATATTTAACAGAAATATTATAACAAAACACAATATATCCAAATCAAATCTCTAAATTGAAACGGAATATATCTGAACAGAATTTAATCCATATGTTTGAAGAAAAATGTTAAAAATAAAAAAATTTTGTATTAAAACAAAGAGCAAGTTAAACATGTACTGTTTAACTCAGGGTTTCATCTAGGATCAATTTGAGTGCACATTGTACAGTGTATAGTGTACACCCATTACAGGGTCAAAAATATAAAAATATGTCACAAAAAACACATTTTAATGCCTAAATAAAAGCCACAAATGATTGCTTAACACTTAAACGCGTCAAAATGAATAAAATATGCCACAAAAAGTATTTAAATGCATAAATCTGACACTAAAATTATCTAAAAGCTCAAATTCTGCCACAAAATAGTGCTAATGTATACAAATGCCATTACGCCACAAGCTTTACCCTGACATATAAAATCTGCCACAAGCAGTAATTATAAGGAAAAATAATGACACAAATTATGTATTCGTCATTCAAAAGCTGCCACACATGTCTCAAGAACTCAGAAAATGTGACACAAACAGTATTTAAATTCAATCTGTCATAAATAGTAATTAAAAATCTTACATGACCATGTATCTCAAAATCTCTAGATTATCTCCTGTCCCAAAATCTCTACATGACCTCATGTCGCAAAATCTTTAGATGACCTCCTGTCCCAAAATCTTTAGATTACCTCCTCTCCCAAAATCTGTACTTGATCTACAGTCCCAAAATCTCTAAGACTGTCCCAAAATCTCTACATTCCCTCATGTCCCAAAATCTCTAGATTGTCTCCTGTCACAAAATCTATACATGACCTCATGTCCCAAAATCTCTAGATTACCTCCTGTCCCAAAATCTCTACATGACCTCTTGTTCCAAAATCTCTAGATTATCTCCTGTCCCAAAATCTCTAGATGACCTCCTGTCCCAAAATCTCTACATGACCTCTTGTTCCAAAATCTCTAGATTATCTCCTGTCCCAAAATCTCTACATGAACTCTTGTTCCAAAATCTCTAGATTATCTCCTGTCCCAAAATCTCTAGATGACCTCCTGTCCCAAAATCTCTACATGACCTCTTGTTCCAAAATCTCTAGATTATCTCCTGTCCCAAAATCTCTACATGACCTCTTGTTCCAAAAAAATCTCTAGATTATCTCCTGTCCCAAAATCTCTAAATGACCTCCTGTCCCAAAATCTCTAGATTATCTACTGTCCCAAAATCTTTAGATGAGCTGAGTCCTGAATCGAATGTAAAATTATCTTTACCTTTAGCTTTACTTGCTTCTTTAGGAGTTTTCGAGAATACAGGAGAATAGCTAAAATATACTATAATTGATAAACTTCATTTGCAAAAGGTCTGACCTGGAAAACACTTTTTGGACCCCTTTTATCAATTTTGGTATTGACACTATACTATTTCATATTTTACTACACTACACTGAATAACATAAATAACCTGTCTTACAGAACGATTTTTGCCCCCCCCCCCCC